CATTAATACCAAAACCAAGCAAAGACAGCACAAAAAAGAAAATTAGAGGCCAATCTCCCTAATGAACACTGATGCAAAAATCCTCAACAAAATCCTGGCCAACAGAATCCAACAATGCATCAAAGTGAAAATACACCATAATCAAGTAGGATTCATCCCAGGGGCACAAGGATGGTTCAACATATGAAAATCAATGAGTGCAATCCAACTCATCAACAAAAAGAAAAATAAAAACCATATGATCATAGCAATAGATGCTGAGAAAGCATTTGACAAAAGTCCAACATCCATTTATTATGAAGGCCCTTGAAATTCTCGGGATAGAAGCAACATACCTTAACATGATAAAAGCCATATACGACAAACTCACTGCCAACATTATTCTCAATGGTGAAAAGCTGAAGGCCTTTCCTTTAAGATCAGGAACAAGACAAGGTTGTCCTCTCTCACCACTGCTCTTCAATATAATACTGGAAGTCCTAGCCAGGGCAATAAGACAAGAGAAAGACATAAAAGGAATCCAGATAGGGAAAGAAGAAGTAAAACTATCACTATTTGCAGACTATATGATAATATACATAGAGAACCCTAAAAACTCCACAGAAAAACTACTCAAAATAATCAACCAGTTCAGTAAAGTAGCAGGATACAAAATCAACATACAAAAATCAGTAGTCTTCCTATACACAATCAATCTGAAGAAATCAAGAAAACCATCCCTTTTAAAATTGAAAGCAAAAAAATCAAATACTTGATTTTTTCAAATAAACCTAACAAAAGAGGTGAAAGACCTATACAAAGAAAATTATAAAACACTGTTAAAAGAAACAGAAGAAGACACAAAGAAATGGAAAGACATCCCCTGCTCATGGATCAGAAGAATTAACATTATTAAAATGCCCATCCCACCAAAAGCAATATAGAGATTCAACACTATTCCAATAAAAATCTCAATGACATCCTTCAAAGAAATAGAACAAATACTAATGAAATTCATATGGAACCACAAAAAACCATGAATAGCCAAAGTCCTACTGATGAAAACAAAGGAGAAAGAAGGTATCATACTTCCAAACTTCAAGCTATACTACAAAGCCATAATAATTAAAACAGTTTGGTATTGGAACAAAAACAGACTCAAAGACCAATGCAACTGAATAGAGAGCCCAGAAATAAAACCACACTTATATGGACACCTGATCTTTGACAAAGGAGCAAAGAATATGAAGTTGGACACGGACAGTTTGTTCAATAAATGGTGCTGGGAAAACTGGACCACCACAGGCAAAAAAATGAAACTAGACCACTACCTTTCACTGTGCACAAAATCAACTCACAATGGATAAAAGAACTGGACACAAGACCTGAAACCAAAAAATATATAGAAGAAAATATAGGTAAAACATTACAAGACATACATTGCAAAAACATCTTTAAAGACTCATCACCCAAAGCAAAGAAAGTCAAGGAAAAGATAAACACCTGGGATTACATCAAACTGAAAAGCTTCTGGGCGTCCCTGGTGGCGCAGCGGTTGAGCGCTGGGTTGCAAAGCTGCCCGCAGCCTCTGCAGCGCTGGTTCAATCCCCGGCTGCTCCCCGGCTACCAGAGGAGGGTCCCACATGGCGCGCAGACCTCTCCTGCCGCCCGCTGCTCCCCTCAGCAGTGTACTTCGGTCCTTCTGCCTGCCCTGCTCCCCGCTCTGGTTCTGGTGAATTCTCTCACCCTCCCGCACTTCTGACTGTACCCAGTGCTTGTATAAATAAATAAATAAATAAATAAATAAATAAATAAATAAATCTTAAAAAAGAAAAAAAAAAGAAAAGCTTCTGCACAGCAGAAGCTATATTAACCAAAACAGAGAGATATCCCACTGATTGGAAAAAAATCTTTGCACCCCTGTCAACTGATAAGGGACTGATCACAAAGAATACAAGGAACTCATACAACTCAATGAAAACAAAATAAACAATCCAGTCAAGAAATGGGCAGAAGAATTTAAAAGACATTTCTCCAAAGAGGAAATGCAAATAGCCAATAGGCATATGAAAAAATATTCAACATCCCTTATATAATCAGGGAAATGCAAATTAAAACCACATTCTTACCCTAGTAAGAATGGCACATATCAAAAAAAAAAACAGCAACAACAAATGTTGGCGAGGATGTGGTGAAAAAGGAACTTTCCTACATTGCTGGTGGGAGTGCAAACTGATCCAACCACTATGGAAAGCTGTGTGGAGGTTCCTCAGTCTACTAAAAATGGAGCTACCATTTGACCCGGCAATTCCACTACTAGGGATCTACCCAAAGGACACAAAAACATTGATTCAAAAGAACACCTCTACCCCTATGTTTATTGCAGCAGTATTTACAATAGGTAAAACCTGGAAACCACCCAAATACCCAAAAATAGATGACTGGATCAAGAAGATGTGGCATATATACACAATGGAATATTATTCAGCAATGAAAAAAAGATAAACTCATGCCATTCGCAGCAACATGGATCGAACTAGAAGGGATTATGCTCAGTGAAATAAGCCAGAAGGAAAAAGAAAATACCAGATGGTTTCACTTATAGCAGGAATATAGGGGAACCAAATAAGAGATCAGTGTAAAAAAAGAATAACAGTACAAAACACAACAAAGCAAAATCGGACAATTATAAATCAGAGACACACTGCAAGGGAGGAGGAGGGAGAGGGATCAGAAGGAGGGTGGGAGGAGCACAGGGGACTGAGGTGATGGTGCACAGGTGCATTGGTGAAGAAAACTCTGGGGACTACACCTGAGGGGGTGGGGGGGGAAGCAAATATTGTTTTAAAATGAACAATGATGTGGGCCTCCCTGGTGGCGCAAGGGGTTAAGCACCACACTATGAAGCAATCCACAACCTTTACAGCACAAGTTCGATCCCCGGCCGGCCAGGGAGCAACCCACATGGTGCAGCAGACCTCTCCTATCTCGCCCACTGCTCCCCTCAGCAGTGTACTTCAGTCAGTCTGCTTGTTCTGTTCCCCGCTCTGTCTCTGGTGAATCCTCTCACCCGCTGCATCTCTGGCCTGTACCCCAGCTCTTATATGCATAAATAAATAAATCTTGAAAAAATAAAATAATATAAAATAATCAATGAAGGAAGGAGGACAAGGAGGGTGGGAGGGTGGGAGGGAGGGAGGGAGGAAGGGAAAGGAAAGGAAGGAAGGAAGGAAAGAAGTAATCAGCCTTCATTCCTATGACCGACCAGAACTAGAGCGAATGTGCTCATTTGAAGGATTCTATGGGAATGACCCCTCGTTACCCTGTCCAACTGGGGTTCTAAAGTCAACATGGCCAGGGGCCACTGAACCCTGGTGAGACCTATTGGGATGAGAGTGGGTCAAGGGAGAAAGGAAAAAAAATGAGTGGACAGTATTGCCTCAGTCAACAATGAGTGCCCACAACTTCCCAATCCATGTCTACAAGGAGCCTCAAAGACTCGGGCTCTCTTCTTAGAAAAAGCAATCATCTGACATTGGTAAGATGATGCATAGGTTTCTAAAGGCGGCCCTAGCCCTATCCAAATTCCCAAGCACTGGGCATACCTGTTCTAAGTAGAGGCAGAAGAGTCAGGGAGAGCCTCAGACTAACCAGCCTGGATTCACATACATACCCAGACCAATACAAACATCACTGAGACAGAAACCAGCTATACCACTTTACATGGCCATCATCCCCCAAACATGCTCACACAAACCAAGTTCCATTTGCACACTCTGAGGATGTTCTCTTTTTAAAAACCAGCAGGCCCTATCTTGACAAAGAGAAGAGTATGCTGCAGGGAGAATGGCATGAGCTTTAGAAGCAGACACAGTTGAGTCAAAACACAGATCTGCCACTTCATCTAGCCACTCATTCACCCCAAAACATATAGAGAGGGCTCACTGCTCCTGGCAAAACAAGAACAAGAGAGACAAAACAGTAAATTTTCCATGTCAACTTGGTAACTGAGTAACTTCTCTCAGCTTCAATTTCTCATCTATAAAATATGAAGGATATTACTTCCTTTGCAAGTTATAGGTTCTCATGAAGACTGACATAAAGACACAGTTTTGACATATATCAGAATTTTTTACGTTGAAGACTTTAATAATGTAATGTCCCATTTCACTCATTACATGAAGAATTTTTTTTTCTCTAAAGCCTACCTTTTAACAGTGACCTACAATCATGTTATTCTCGACAAGGTTCTTAAGTAAATCCCTCTCCCCCATTAAAAGGTTAAATTTCTACCCAGTGAAGCTCATTGAGAAGGAGGTATCAGAACTCAATCAAGCAGTAAGTATTACAGCTCCAACCTGAGGTGGCTCCCTGCTCTGTACAAGAGCACAGGAAGAAGCTGCCGACTCTGCAAATGTTTCTGTGTTGGGTGTTGGGGTGGGGGTGGGGGGTGTTTTGTAGAAACTAAATGCAATCAATGATATGAAGAATATAGTAACTAAAAAAAAAAAAAAAAGCAGCTCAGGGGCTGTTCACACAGCACAGGAAAGCCTATTAGGCCTGAGATGGTCACATACATGATTTGATATGGCTTTAAAAGGTGGATGGGGGCCTCCCCTGGTGGCACAGCAGTTGAGCGCTGGGCTGCGAAGCTGCCCGCAGCCTCTGCAGCACCGGTTCGATACCCGGCCACTGGCAAGGGTCCCACATGGCGCGCAGGCCTCTCCTGCCGCCCGCTGCTCCCCTCAGCAGTGTATTTCGTCAGTCTGTCTGTTCTGCTCCCCACTCTGGTGAATTCTCTCACCCTCCTGTGCTTCTGACTGTACCCAGTGCTTGTATAAATACATAAATAAGTCTTTAAAACAAAAAAGAAAGAAAAAAGGTGGGTGGGAGGCATGCTGATGACTGAAGGAAAGAGTGGTTTTGTGTTTGTGGCTGAAGAGAGAGATTAAGGACAGAGAAACAGGCCAGTTTGGTCTCCAGCACAGTCCACAGCTGACACCTGTGCCCCCAGTGGTTACCTGCCTGCCCTTCACCACGTGCTTGGGCACGGGCACCTTGAGCTCCAAATCGGTATAGTCCTGTGACCAGGTGTAGTTCTCACGCACAGCACCATTGTAGCTGTCAGGGTTTCTCTGGAACTGCTCCTGTCTCCTAAGAAAGAACAAGACGTGAGATAACAGCCAAGGCGAACATGCAGGAGAGGAGCCACAGATACTAACCACACACAGTTTCTAGGTCTAAACAAGTTCTACCTAAATCTTACCTGCTTTTGTGTCTCAAACTCCACCTCTAGTCCTTTCTGACCCTCCTCCACAGGCCTCCCAGGAAATCATAGGGAAAAGGGGAAAAGTTTCAGAGAAAACCCTGAGTGCAACACCCTGGAGTCTGGGGAAGTCTGCCACAGCAGTCTACAGAGCAGCCTGTTCCTCTGCGCTTCTCTGGAGTTTATAACTCAGACCAATCAACTAATCCAAGTGTCCTTATAAATCCTGGGGGCTTGTGAATGCAGTTTTTCATTACACTGACTGGCAAGTCTATCTTAAAAATGCAAAACAACATCAGCCCACAGCTGCTCAGCTTCAGTCCTAACCCGATGCACCCCCATCTTCTCTTGAACCAATAAATCATAACCAAGGTACTGTAAGCATTACAGTGAGCTTATAAGGTAGCCTAGAGAACCCCGTCAGCCAGACCCTGCTGTACATGCTCACAAACCCAGCACAGACGTGGACAGGCCTAGCTAAGAAGCTGATGTTAAAAAATACAATAAATATTTACCTTAATAAACCTTAGCAGCATTAATAATAGTAAAAACCCTATGTAAGTTTAGAGTCGCAAGTCCATTATAATGAGTGTGGGATCTAAATTAAAGACAGAAGCCTAATTACAGGGAAGGCAACACCAGATGAGCTCAAACATCCCAATAACAGGTGCAGTTCAGCGACTTTCCCAAGTCTCAGAGCACCCAACAGACGCACCTGGAGTTGATACACAACTCCACTTGTGGGGTGACACTAGCTGTACATGCTTACATCTGTGCACATGAAAACACACAGAAATGAGCTGGGTGGTGTGAATCCCCTCAGCCCCTCACCCTTGGTCAGGAAGGGGTCAGGAGTGGTAGTTAATGAGGATATTCTTTTCTGGCTGAAGTTCAGGACCAGAACAAATTTACTACTCTGTATGACAGGCACAACTTGCATCGTGCAGCTGATTATAGGCCATGATCTCTCAGCTAATAATGATGGCTGATATGGGCTGAACTGTGCACCCCAAAATTCCCTTGTTAAAGTCCTAACTTATAGCACCTCAGAATGTGCCTGATTTGGAGAAAGGGTCTTTATAGAACCAATCCAGTGGAAATGAGGTCACTAGGTTAGGCCCTGATTCAAAATGACTGTGTCCTTAAAAAAGGGAAGATCTGGACATGGAGACGCATGCAGGGGGACAATATTGTGGAGAGATAGAGGGACAAGATGCTTATGTGGTGATGGCAAGCAGCTGCAAGCCAGAAACATGGAGGACTGTCAGCAGTGGCCAGAAGTTGGAAGAAACAAGGTAGGATTCCACCCAGAGTCTTTATACCCAAGCTCGGACTCAGGACTCCGAAACTAGAGCAGGATGAATTTCTGTTGATCAAAATCATCCAATATGTGGTACTTTGTTACAGGAAACACAGTACTAAAAAATTGATAGTAAAAAATCCTGATGATAAAGTAAAAAAGACCCTGATGATAGTAAAAATCAGCACTCAATATCAGGAGGGCCACGCAGTGACCAATCAGAAAGGATACTACCCTAAACTGCCAGCAGGGGAAGCAAAGGAGAGACAGTCAGTCCCCGTGGGGACCAAGAGCCAGAGAGACAGCATGGTGAGGGGGAGGCAAGGAGATGACGGAGTCAAGGCCTGGACACGGACCAGTGTAAGTGTATTCAAAGACTGTTGAGGGTTGTGGGAATGCTTTCAACGTGCAATAAAACTGACTAAGGATATACAGCTTTTGTCTATTATAGATGCAGTTTTCTAAGAAATACTAGGACAGGCATTAAATCTACAGTTATCTCTAGGCAGCAGTGTAACCAGCAATTTGACTTTCTTCTTTGTACTTTTAATTATTATGCAGATTTCCTACAGTATACAGATACCTTTAACATCAAGATATTACCAGCTCTCTAAGAATGAGTGGACAGGAGGCAGCAATCTGTCCATACTAGTCTGTTCAGATTCTGACCCCAAAACAGGGTCCAGGGTACAAGGGCATAGTGGGTCATCTGCATCACCCACCCATGCATTTTGCTCCCCACTCCAGCACCTACACATCTGCCCACAGAGGTGCTTGAGCGTACAGGGAGTACCTCCCAATGAACACTGAGTCACAGGCAGGTGGCTGAGAGGTGGTTTTTCTCACTGCACAGCCTTTTTTGTATGGTCTTCTGAATCACGTGTGTATGCTACCAACTCAAAATACAGTTATGAAAATATAAGTAAAATACACAAATGAAAACCAACATGGTCCTGGCACTTGGATGAGAACAGGAAATAAACACCAAGAACCCCCTCAAAGTGGAGGACAGCTCCTTCCCATGACACATGACTGAATCCTTGTTGCTGGTGTCCACATGACCCCTGAGAACAGAATGGGCATCTGGGTGCTCATGAAGGGGCTCTGGCCTGCAAGCTGCTCTGCTTGGACTAGGGGCACTTACCCTATAAGGACCAGCAGTCTCCTCCCAAGGGAGTCAGGCAAGTCACTCCTAGCACACTGTTGGGTGCTTTTTTTTTTAAACACTCTGAATCCACATTCTCTTTAAATAAAGTTGATTATTTCCAGCCAACAGTGTGTAAAAATAAGCCTCCTGTCATGTGCAGGTGCTATGGGCCCCCGCTCGCATCCTCCCGTCCTCCCCAGCGACAGTCCATCCTTTCTGCCACCCCTGCAGCTGCTGGTTGAGTGCTGGGGTGAAAGGGGGGAGGGAAGGCAGGAGGGGGGAAGGCTGGAGAAGGAGCATGAGTCAGCAGTCAGGCCTCACTGCAGTGCCCACGCCTGATGAGCAAATCAGCCCAGATAGCAAGGTCTTAACATACTAAAGGAAAAGCAGGGTCAGGTTTCTGCACCCTGCACTGTGGGCAGCTGTACTGTGGGCAGCTGGCATCATCTGCATTGGTGCGAGTTCTGCTCAGGCCTCCTGTGCTGCTGTAGGAACCAGAAGTCCTCTTTCCTTTCAGATTAGTGACTCTCCCAAGGTGAGAACAATTAGTGGTAAATACCAAAGTAGCAAATAAAAAGGGTTACGGGACCAACATACGATTTTTATCCACACAAAGAATGGTGAGAGCCCACACACAGAATGCTTATGACTCAGTGGGCAACAGGTTGTGGGCATGTCCAGAGGGGCTGTTCTGAAAAGGAAGAGGAGCCGCTCCCCACTCTGAGGACAGCCTGTCTCCAAACCTTTACAATCACTTTCACAATATAAAGCAAAGGCCACTTCTGTGCATCTGCTTCGTCCTCAGTGGTGTCCAGGTATGAGAGCTCAGACCACACCTCGCCACCCATCGACGACTCTACTGCCCCTGCACCAATGGGAGGGACCAAGGCTTGTGTGTATCTATGGTGTATGCTCATGTGCCTGTGCATGTCTGGTAAGTAGGTGTGTACACTGTGCTGTTATATGTGTGTGGTCTGCATCCAACTTGAGAATGTGTGTGGCGCACGTGTGGTGTGCAGATTATGTGTGCAAGTTTGTACATATGTGGTGTGTGCATGTGTAGCTGTGAGTTTGTGTGTGATGTGTATAAAGCAGTTGATTCTCTCCCTTCAGGGACCCTCTCATCTCTTACAAATTTCCTTCTCTTGTCATTAATCCCACCACATGCCACACCTCGACACAAAGCACAGAAGCTCCTTTCCAGTCAACAGAAATCGGCTGAGTATTTTCCTGGACCTCTGCATTTTCCCAGCTAAAATAAGCATCATTATAAAACCTGCCCAACTTTTGGGGTCTACTACCCTGCTTTTAGAAGCTTGGCATGGACGGTGCCCTCTCCACACCTACTGTCCTTTGGCCCCAGCACTCTTTGAAGGCACATCAGCACCACAATGTGACAGCAGTGATGCCTGGACCCCTGACTGCTGGCCCCAAGAGGACATCTTCACCAGCCCCCTGTTACCAGGAGAGGGGCCCTCCCTTTCCAGGAGCACCTCCTGAAGGCCAACCCCTCTCCCCTTTTAAATGCCTGCAATTCTCCCCAGTATGGAAATAACCAGGTTCTCAGGCAATGAGAGCTGGATCACCACAGGGTCATAAGCGCTAGATTCAGACCCCTTCACATCAGACCTGGGTAGTCTGTGGTGTTTTGTCACCTGAAATGATGTATGCTCAAAATCCAACCCAGCTTCAAAAGGCGCCAACCACACAAACTTGAGTAGGTCAATCTTCTACACCTTGGCCCAAATGTAAATTGTGAACTCACAGCATCTACCCAAATGGTGTCCAAGAAGAATAAATGAGATAAACATGTAAGATGGCCAAAACAGGCCCTCAACATAGGAAACATTCAGGGTTAGGTCTCAGGGTTAGTTCAAACTTTCTAACTGGGTTAGAACAGAAGGCTCACTAGGCAACTTCTATGAATAAGGGGTGCCCTCTGAGACACTTAGGGAAATAAGTTATGCATTTTGCCTAATAAATCTATACTTTTACCCTTAAGTTTCTTTTTTTAAAAAAACTTAACGTCAGTAATTCTTATATATTCCTGTATCACCAGTTTAACATTTACTACCTGTCTCACCAGGACAGCAGTGGGTCTGCCTCACCCACAGCAATCAGTGCCCCTGGAGAGGCAGACAGGTTCAGTCAGCCTAATCAACAACACAGTTCAACAAGGAAGGTCCCATAAAAGGGATAAATGAGCCCACAAAGGATCCCAACAAGTCAAAGATGGGACACTTCAAGCATCAACAAAGTCAACAATGGACTGAAACACATGCTATATTAAAGATTCATGAGCTCATAAAACAAAAAGTCTTCTGGTTACCTCTGGTGACCACAACTCAATCTGAAAAAGAGTAAAATGATTCCCCAGGAACCAGATTTTCAGAAATCCAAGCCCCTCTATAAGGATTCCAGATAATAAATGAAGAAGGTGT